GAGCGGCGCGGCACAGCACAGCATGGCAGTAGCAGGAGCAACTGTTGGAGTTGAGGGGAGCAGAACAGTCGTGGCCAACACGTAGCTTCCAGTGAGGCTATTCCAGTGTGGCTGCAGCCGACCAGGTGCTGCTGTGCTTCCCTCGCCTCCAGGGGCCTCTCCTCTTCCCACTCCTGCCCCTGCTACACCACTCCGGCCAGGAGGGAGCTTCAGCCTGGCAGCTCATGCTGGAGGTGAGGGGAGCAGAGAAATATCCAGCTGACTGCAGCCGCACTGGGAACAGCCCTGCCAGAAGCTGCATGCTGGCTGGGGCTCAGGGGCATGCAGGTGTGGCCTGCCTGGGTGGGAGCAAGTAGGGCTCAGCCCCATGTGGAGCTGTGGCCTGTGGGCCATATTTTGCCCACCCTTGATATAGACAGATGGAAATATTACAAAGAAACAACATAACTCTGGTCCAGGAGAAAGACAATGGTCTTAGTGTGTAGCAGCCAAGCAATTGCAAAGTTTTGGGGAACATAGGACAGGAAGGAGCCTCCTGGGCCGTTGAGTCTAGTCCTCTGCATTTGCAAGCAACCACTTACCCCAAGATTGTGAAAAATGGTGGACTCCAATCTCTTACCCTAGCTAGAAAGTGCAGATCCAGAAACTCCAAGAGCATTGTTCAGTATTCTGTGGGGAAAGAGCAGCTGTGACTAGGGCACTATAAATGCCCTGCCCCTGTAGTGGGAGAAAAGGAAGCAGCTAATGCTCAGATGATCCTAGGAAAAAGACTATGCCTGACTGCCTAAGAAGGATAAAACCCACGTAGTTCTTATCTATCTGCCTTAGGAAATGATTCCTTCCATACTTTTAATTTGACTCTTGGTTGACTGTAAACAAAAGAACAAGATCCTTTAGCCAGGTACCTCTGGGGTTTCTAAGTATCAGCAGGAGCATCAGGACGCCCTGTGTTGTCTAGGCACCAAGGCCCAAGAGTTTTCTTTAGAAGGAATTGAATGGTAGAGTCAGAAGGCTGGAAAGGATCTCAAGGATCATCTATCTTAAGGAGAACAGTGTAGAGGCTTTGTGGATATTTACATGGAGATCTTTCCAAGTGTGAGTGGTCAACATAAGAGAAACTATGAAGAAGATGTAAACTGAAAACATGCTGCATGCTTGCAACTTGTAGTGCAAGGTTCGCTTATTGACACTGACCGAGAGTTTGGGGGATTTATAGGCCAGTTTTCAGGCTCAAGAGACTCCTCGGTAGATTTGAGACACCCCTCAGAAAATGCCAGCCTTAAGCTTTCACTCTTTTGACTGTAGGG